ATGTATCTTGTGTCATAGCTCTTTCTTAAAGGGTAATAAACCAAGTAGAGGAATTGCTGAGCCATACAGTATTTCTGTTTTCAACTTTATGAGGTTGGACCATTTTATTGTCTCACCAGCAATGTCGGAGGGTCCCAGTCTCTTCAGATCCTCACTAGCAGTCATCATTTTCTGATTTTTTGAACTTTGCTATTAATGCTGGGATGAAATGATATCTCATTGTTTGGATTGGCATCTCTCTAGGATAAGCACTGGACTGCTAATCACAAGATTTACAGTTCAAGTCAACCAGCTATTCCTCGGTAACCCTATACAGGGCCTCCATAACTCGGTACTGACTCAACAGCACTCAGTAACAACAATGGCTTTTGTTTGTGAGCATATCTCCATGTTTGTTACCCAGAAGGCTGCTTCTGCTGTTGTTAAGTGCCAATGAGTTGATTCCAAGGAGCCAGCTGGTGGGTTTGAACTGCAAACCCTATAGTTAGCTGACCAGTGCTTATCCTACAGCTCTATACTAGGAAAGGCTAGGCATTCTTAATATATTAGCAAGAAGCAGCGTAATACAGAGTGTAAAACTCTGCCATTGATTTATGATGATCCAGTTATTTAACTTTCAGGATAAGAATATTTTTACTATTACATAGACAAGTAGTGAAATTAAATGAGAATAATATATATTAAAGGACTTGACTCAGTGCCAGATGCATAGAAATGGATTTTTTTCAGGGGAGGGGGGGAAGACCTGCTATTATCTGACCACTGTTGATAATGATAATGATGTTGTTGTTCAATGTTGTCCAGTCAGTTACAACTCATAGCGACCCTGTATAGGGTTTCCAAGGAGTGACTGATGAGTTTAAATTGCCAACCTTAAGTGTTACAATCCAGTGCAATTCATCTGACCACTGCAGTAAGCATGTGACATCTCATTAAACTGTTCAGTTTCAGAATATACCACATGTATATCGGTTGTCATTCATTAAAAAAAAAAAAAGTCATCTTGAGCTCTTCAAAAAGGTCTTTTTGTTTGCAAAGGCTCAACCTTTTCACTAAGTGTGAGATAAGAGATTTCCATAGAAAGTTCAGAAATGGCAAAAAAAAAAAAAACCCACACAAGTATATTGGGATTTATATTTTATAATACCACTTTAGGGAAAGAATGAGGATTTCTGGTTATGCATTTTAATGGATCAAAACTCACTTTTATATGGCAGATCAGTGGTTGTGTGACTGGTTTCTAACCTACTCCCATCAATATAACTGATGGAAAACAAAGTTGCTAGGTGGTGTGTGACTGTTATTCCTAATAATGGATTAACAATACATATTGATTCTCCTAAATTACGCATACTCTTTATGTAAGATTATTGTCAACCCTAGATTACTGCCCTATTGAGATTTGTATTTTGATGACTTCCAGAAGAAAGAATTTAATATCTGCAGCATGGGTGAAGTGTTGTTTTTGACAGGAGTGATTTTTGAACAGGAAGAACACAAGTCTGCCATCTACTATGCTTTTAAGCTGAAATAATTGTACTCAGTTTCCATGTAGCATTACGCATCACCAAAGCACAAATTCTAATACTTCAGAGGTGGGTTGGTAACATAGTGGGTTTCAAGTTGGCCTACTTGACCGCAAGGTCAGCAGTTCAAATCCATCAGCCACTCTGTGGGAGAAAGATTTACAGCCTCAGAAACCAGATAACAGCATCGCTATGAGTCAGAACCACTCAACAGCAACAGCAGGAGTAAATTAAGAGGCGGGAAATTATTATTTTGCAAACTGGTCCGAGGAAAGCATTACTTAATATTACTTACATGAAACACCTTGATTTAATAATCTCAAATGGCCATATTCTATAGGAATTGCCTCTGAACAGACTGTATACTTATAGGGGAAAAAAAAAAAAACTTTAATAAGACAGTGTAGGACCTAGTAACATTGTTTGAATAATAATTTAAATTTTTTGTTATTGAAAGGCATTTAACATTTGATAGGAAAACAGGACACAACTTTCACTCAGTTATTTTCACTTTATAGCTATGTATAGTTGTAAACCAACAAAGTATTTTTAAAATACAGTTCATTGAAACTAAACTTTAATCAGTAATAAATACACTTGGGAAGGTTAGAATAGTACAGATGAAATATAATGCAAGTGATGCTTTTAGTGAGGGGGAGATTACACCTAGATGACATTTAGGGTGAAAATGATTATATTCTTATTAATTCAGCTAACATTTGTCAAAAGCAATTTATTTTCCATGCACAGTGATAAATACTGAGAAAATAAAACCTGAACATTATTCCCTGCTCTAAAGGGATGAGTAAATTAGAGACAAGTTTACAATTTCTGTTTTTAACATAAATTATATTTCTTTAGTCTAAAGACTTCCAGGCTCTCCACTCTCTGTACAAAGAAAATAGAAACCAGTAGACTGGAATGTCTTTGAATTCCAGTCCTCAGACCTCTGTAGGTATTACTGTTTCTGTTGGCCCTCTCTAAGTACCCAGACCTGTGCTTCTGGATCTGGACTTTAAGAATAATGCACAATTGACAGTGTCTTTACTTTGCTATATATTTTCAACATCATTAACTTCTTTCTTTCTTAGTAGGTCTGGTGTGGCACTATAGGATAAGTACTGGACTTCTAACAACAAGGTTGGTGGTTAAAACCCACCAGTCCCTCCTCAGAAACCCTGTACAATGTCACTATGAATCGGAAATGACTTGATGGCACTTAAAACAACAGTAACAATCTCTAAAGTGAGATTCAAGGTCTGTGAGTGCATTTTCATCAGGTTCCCAGATACTGCTTTAGAGAAACAAAACGACCTATCTACCTCATAGATTACACAGAGCTGGGATTTGATCCCAGGCAGTTTGACCACCCCAGAGCTTATACTCTTTTGACCTACTTACCTTGCACCCCAAACATATACTGCGTATCGCTTAGGTACTTCAGACTCAGTGTGTTTATAATGATGTGCTTATATCTCCTTTTCCTCAAAACCTAGCCTTCCATTGCTGTGTAGTATATTCTGTTGTGTTGTTGTTGTTGTTTAAGTACCTTGGAGTTGGTTCCGACTCAGTGACCCTGCACAGGGTTTCCAAGGCTGCACATCTTTACAGGAGCAGAAAGCCTCATCTTTCTCCCGCGGAACAGCTGGTGGTTTTGAACTGCTAATCTTGAAGTTAGCAGCCTGATTCGTAACCACTACGCCACCAGAGCTCCTTCTGTTGTATAGATACAACATAATTTGTGTGGTGCTGTGGTTTAATGCACTGGACTGCAAAGTCGTTTGAGCCATAAGGTCAGTGGTTCAAGCTCACCAGCCTCCAGCCACGCCAGTGAAATCCTATACAGTGTCACTATGTGTCGGAACTGACTTAATAGCACTTAACAGCGACAACTATAAATATTTTTGAGTACATATTCACAGAAGAGGACTTTTTGTTACTGTTTTGCTTTAGCTTTTTGGCAGCCAGAGTAGTTGAGAATGGTGATACCAAAGGTGAGTCTTGAATGGAAAGTGAAAGGGGAGGATTCTTCATCAAGTAAGTTTTCAGGGATTCAAGTCATTTGAGAGAATAGAGAAAAGTTTAGAACAGTACCAGAAGGATGATGCTCGAGTTACAAACAGGAAGTTGTATATTAGGGCCTTGTATTCTAACTGTTGGATGGTGGTGGCTCAGTGGTAGAACTATTACCATCCATACAAGAGAGGCTGGCACTTGACCAGTGTTCTGTTGTACATGGAGTAGCCAAGAGTTGGAAGCCAACCATAACAATTCTACACTAAGGCATTTGAAGTTTATCCTTAAAACTGTGGTGTGAACCTTTGAAGATGTTAAGAAATGGAGCAGAATAAAATTTGTTTTAGAAAGATCTTTTCTGATTGTTTTGTCGGAAATGAATTGAAATATGAGCACTATTTTGGAGTCAACAAAACTAGAAAGCCATGCCAGTCATCTATTTGCCTGGGGGAGGAGTGATGAGGGCCTGACTTCAGGCAGTGGTAAAGAAGTGAAAGGGAAGGGTGGTTGTTGTTAAGTGCTATTGAATCAATTAAAACTCATAGCAACCCTGTATAGGATTTCTGAGGGGTGACTGGTGGGCTTGAACTTCTGACCTTGTGGTTAGCAGCCTAGTGCTTATCCTACAGCACCATACCAGGACTCCTATTTTAAGATGAGGTCTAAGAAATTACCTTTCTTCTGAAATTTCCTCTTATTACTCTAACATTTAATTGTTTGTTTGTTTTTTTCCTTTTCTGAATCTGTTTAGAAATAATGATCTTATTATTTAATAATTTACTGATGTTCTGCATACCTGAAACAATACTGTAACACTTGACTTGCATTACCTAATTAAATCTGTGATATGATGGTGGTAGTATGCTGTGGTATCAGTTCCAACCCATAGCAACCCTGTATAGGGTTTCCAAGGCTGTAAATTTTTACGGGAGCAGAAAGCCCCATCTTTCTCCCCAGGAATAGCTGGTGGTTTCATACTGCTGACCCTGAGGTTAGCAGCCTGACTGGTAACCACTGCGCTATCAGAGCTCCTTAATCAGTGATAGGATGTTGTTGTTAAGTGCCATTGAGTCTATTCCGACCCATAGCGAGCCTGTATAGGGTTTTCAAAGAACAGCTGGTGAGCTTGAACCGCCAACCTTGCAGTTCAGACGGCTTTGCAGTCTGGCGCATTAACTCACGGCACCACACCTGGACTCCAATCTATGATACATAGTTGGTTGCAAATGAGGATACCATGGTATGCAGATCGCATCACCTGTGTACTAGGATTGGTATTTAATTTACCCACACTGCAAAACCCATCTTTAAACTACATTTATTGTTTTGAGTGTGTTTTTACTCTTGCTGAAAATGATAAGCTTTTATGCTTTGTGTAGTATTAAGCACATAGTAGAAAATCATTATTTATGGATATTCTTTTGGCTTGTGAATAACATTACTCTGTCTCCTTTGCAGATTTGGATGGTGCTTTACTCTCAGGGCCAGATTGTGATAGGAATGTGAATGCAAGTTTGTTGGTTGAAACTGGCTCTGGTCAAGATGGAAGTGATGCTGGTAGGTATAATAGACTTTTTGCCATAGTGTATTTTAAAGGATTTGAAGATTAAGAAGTGCTTGTGTTTATGCTTCTTAAGGGCCTACTGCAGTTTCTTTCCCTTAGGTGTGGAGAGTATTATATATAAATTCTCGAATCTATGGTAGCTGTGTTTATGACAGACTGGTAAATACAACAACAAAAAACAGCTGTGCTTTTGGTTTTGTTTTGGGTGGTCATTTATGCTCTTATAAATATAAAAAATCATTCAAGTTAATAGAGTTACTTGGCTTACTGATGTGTAGATGGAATGGTAATACTATGATTCTGGTAGACTAATATCGTTTTGGTATAAAATAGTAAAATTGTTTTTGATGGCTGGAAGCGATGTATGTAAAGCTTTCTTGGAAGGGGGGGCTCACTGGCAAAAGAGTCTGCCTAAAAAAATGAATCCTAGTCTTAGAAACATAGGTAATGATTTTGTGGCATTAGAAAACATTCATTCATTCTAAAGTAAATTAACTGTATTTTGAGGAAAACTTGTTGCACATAATGTCAGAATCTTTGAGTCTTTTATGAGCATTAAAAAAAAAAAAACAGGAAAGCTTTCTCTGTAGAAAAATACCCAAGAAAATTTTTTATAAAGAATGATAGAATCGAAACTTAAGCTGTTTTGCAACTCCAACATAAATTATTTTGTAACCATCCACAGTAAAATCAGTGGATGATAAACCCTTGGATTGGGTGAAAGGTTTTTGGGGAATAGGATATTCACATGGTCTCACAGATCAAAGGGTAAAAAAGAAATCTGATGAACATTATTACCATAATCAAATGATGCAATTTAGTATCAGTAATAATAGAGCAGGCTGAAATCATGTACCTCCTGATAGATGCACTAAGGCATACAGCTCTAAGGCATACTACGTCACCTAGGGAGGATTCTTGCCAGAACTGTTTAACCTGTATCTAGTCATGAGGGAAAAATCAGATCTAGATCCCAGCTATATGACAGTTGGTTCAGGCTAAAATGTCAGTGTTATAAAAGACAAACAAGGGAACTGTAATATTAAGGCGAAACAACTGAATACAATATGTCAGTCTTGTTTTGATTCTGGGTCTAAGAAATGGCTAAATGACATTTTGGGACTAGTTGGAAATTTTGATATAGCATATATGTTAAATATTACTACTAAATCATTTTCTTGGATATGGTGCTGTGTGTGGATTGTTTAGCTATGTTGTCAGTGATTGCATGCTGATTTATTTAGGAGTGGAAAAAAGGTACATAGAGAAGAGAAGCACATGTACAGTGCTTTGAGGTCCTGGTGTGAACGTTGTAGGATATATTGATCCTTTCAGCTTCTCTGTAACTTTGAAGTTCTTGGTAACTTAGAGCACTCATTAGAGAAAGATCTTACAATGTTCTGAATATAGTATTCATTGACCACAAAATTTAGCTGTAGTTCTGAATAAAGAACTTGTTACCCTAACTTGGAAAATTTTTACGAAGAACAAAAACAGTGGTTGAATCCAGTGGGCTTCTTAATGGGTTGAGTTTTGAAAACTTTTTGATTCTACAGAAAATCATTAGTAGTGCCAGGAGTGTTTTACTGTTCTTGTTTTGGTCTAGAAACTTGTCCAATAATGTGTTTGAGTTATATGTAAACTTTGGAATTAGTACACATAACCGGGTAAGTCCAAAAGTACTGCTACTAGGGGTCCAGGGTCTTGGTGTGGTGCTATAGGATCAGCACTGTACTGCTAACCACAAGTTTGGTAGTTCAAACCCACCAGCCGCTTTTTGCAAATTCAGTACTGAGGGTCACTGAATCAGAACTGAATTGACAGCACTTAATAAAAACTAGGGTTTCCATTTAATATATGCACAGATTTGTTTAATTTTTAAATTAAACATGTTTAAATATGTTTCTATGACCAGTGGATGGCTGTAGAAAAGTTCTCTCAGTAAAGTAATTGTGTTAATCTCATTAGGGTGCCTTAGAAAAGGAAAAAAAGGTCTAGTCAAAACAGTGGCTTATGAGGGGTCTGCGGGGCCAACTAAATTCAAAGGAAGAGAGGTCAGATTTCTTAAGCCCATTTAAATCCCATTTCTTAGGGCATTTTAACAAAATTGATTACTGAATTAATTGGTGAGGAACTTCAAACCAATGAGTTTTCCCTCACCGCAATTCATCTGCTCATTCCTAAAGGGTAGCATGGGCGGTCCTACAAGAATTTCATTGGGAAGCCTTACTCCATCTATTCAAACAGCCCCAATCTTGCCCCTTTAGACTGTTTGTTTCCCAGACTCAGCATTTAAAAGGAACATAGTTCCATTTGCATTCCTCAATGTTTAGATTACTTGGATAGCAAAAACTGCTATTTTAACACCATGTAAACTGAAGAGCTCAGCATTCTTTGGGGAAGGGTTAGAGTTGGAAACATTGCCTTCAGAAGTATACAAGGGAAAATTGGAATTAAAAGACAATGGGACGGATTTTTTTTTTTCCACGAAAATTTTGAAGCCTCTTATAGTTCTAGATAAAGGAGAAGGATAGGGTATTTTGACAAACAGCTTCACATTGTAGTATTTCTGCTTAATAAAGGGTTCTATGATTTTTGTAGCAATTTTTAAACTTACCCTTATGCATTTTCAGAAGAGTTGGTTTATACCATTCATAACATTCTCAAAAAATAAATCCCTATGTTGAGTCTTTCCTTGTAAAAATAACATTTTGGCAACTCAAGATCAGCTTTGTTTAGCTTACTTGGATAGCAAAAACATTTCTTCTTAGTTTGCCATTATTGAATAATGTGTCCAGAAAGATATTGGATAGCTAAGGAGCTCTGGTAGCATAGCGGTTACGAATCGGGCTGTGAACCTTAAGGTCAGCAGTTTGAAACTACCAGCTGCGCCGTGGGAGAAAGATGTGACTTTCTGCTCCCATAAAGATTTACAGCCTCGGAAACCCTGTACATGGTCGCTATGAGTCGGAACCGACTCCACGGCACATAACAACAACAACAACAATCACAGTCTTGAAGTAGATCCCTGGTAAACCTAAAGTGTATTGAGTCACAAAGGCAAAACCTTTATTCTGGATATTTATTCTTTTGCATTCCTAATAAATAATCTGAATCCAGATAGTTCCTAATTTATGATGTATTCTAATTGCAAAGAACTGTACTTTGGGCTGTTTTATTTCCCCCACATCTTTTGGTGGTTAGTAGTATGTACTACATACAGTGTTGTTGTTAAGTGCCATCGAATCTGTTCCGACCCATAGCCACCCTGTATAGAGTTTCTGAGGAGTGGCTAGTGAGTTTGAACCACCGACCTTGCAGTTCAAATGGCTTTTGCAGTCTGGCTCATTAACCCAAAGTGTCATACCAGGACTCCTCATACAGTGTGGTGGTGGTGGTGAGTGATGTGCTGTGGAGTCGGTTCCGACTCATAGCGACCATATACAGGGTTTCCGAGGCTGTATATCTTTACAAGAGCAGAAAGCCTCATCTTTCTCACACGGAACAGCTGGTAGTTTCGAACTGCTGACTTTGCAGTTTACAGCCCGATTCGTAACCACCGCAGCTCCTTCCCCGTACAGTGTAGAAGCTCTTAATTTACTGATGTTAACATTCTCAGATGTTCTTTGTTAGGATATGCTGCTCAAAATATTGCCCTAGAGCAGACTGAAAAAAGAAAATGTATTTGATTTACGTCAAAACCAACTTACATCACAAAAATGAACCCTGTGATAAGTTAGGGAGTACATATAGTTATATAATTAGAGATGCAGTTTTAGATCTAAACAGAAGCTCTAGTGGCTCAGTGGTTAAGTTCATGGCTACTAATTGAAAGGTTGGTGGTTCAAACCCACCAGCTGTTCTATGGTAGAAAGATGTGGCAGTCTGCTTTTGTAAAGATTACAGCCTTGGAAACCTTATTGGGGCAGTTGTGCTCTGGTTGGTCACTGTGAGTTAGACTAGACTCTGGCAAGTGTGGAATTTGGGGTTTAACAGGATTTCTAATACTAGTGTACCAAGCATTTGGGGGCAAGTAAATAGCTGAAGTGTATGTGTCTTTTAGAAATCCAGTGGTAATTAGACAGGTGTAGTGCCTGCTCTCTTAGAGCTTTTTCTGTGTCTTGCACTGATTTGGGCAAAATTGATTAATTCTCCTCCACAGACCACATTCCCCACCCCCACCTCATCAATTTCCATCCCCCACACAAGTAAGTGGTCTTGATTTAGAATTCTGAAAACTTAGCCCAAACTGTGAAACATTACAGCTGAATTATTACAAGTATAGGCTTACTTTGAATAAAAGAAAAGGGGGTTATGTACAGAATATCATTATTCCAACTATATTCATAGTAAGTTATAAAGTACAGTTTTAAATACTTACGCTATATTTGTTTGCTGATGTTAAGTGCTATCTAGACTCTTCCTGTATAGAATTTCTAAGACTATAAATCTTCGCAGGAACAAAATGCTCCATTTTTCTTCTGCAGAGCAGCTGGTGAGTTCGAACCACCAACCTTTTGCAGTCCAGAACTTATCCTACATAACCCCCCAACATGATCATTTGTTGTTTGGTGTTGGTCTTTCCACCAAAATACAAATCTAAAGCTTGTTAAATGAGTTCTTTGGAAGAGTTTTTGGCAAGCAATTTTACATAAATAAAACAAAAATAAATCACAGTGTCTGTGGGTAGAAAATAATCCAATCCATTGTTTATGAATGACCTATTCATATATCCTGAAGAGGAGTTTTCTAGGCAGAGGAAAGAGTGAGCGCCAGAGGCTTGTTTTCCATGGAGAGATAGCACAGTATGATTGGAATGAAGTGACTGAGAGCTAAATGAGGCAGGGTTTTGTAAGATAATGAAGGCCTCTGAATGAGGTGGCAAGTTCTTGAATACTTTTAATAAGAATAGTTAACAGTCTTCGACTGCTGTATTAATCACTGTTAAGTGCCGTGGAGTCGGTTCCAAGGAGCTACTGGTGCGCTTGAACCACTGACCTTGCAGTACAGTGCATTAACCCATAGCGCCATACCAGGACTCTTAAAAAGACAATACTGGGAGTGGTGACATAAGTTGTTGGTCCTTATTATTCCATATTAACAATTGTTGTAAAGTTCCGACCAATAGCAGCCCTGTATAGGGTTTCCATGATGCAGCTGGTACACTTGAACCGCCAACTTTGAGGTTTTGCAGCCCAGTGCTTTAATCCACAGTGCCACACCAGGACTCTTAAAAAGACAGTACTGGGAGTGGTGAGACAAGATGTTGGCCCTTAAAATCAGATAGTCCAGAGGCAAGAATGAGTTGGTGGTTGATAGGGTCAAGGTGGAATGTAAAGAAATACATGTCAGTTATAGACTAAAATGGTAGTTTCAATTTAATATTGTGTATTAAGCACTTCTATCATAATGCTTGGAGCCCTGGTAGCATAATTGGTTACAAGTTGAGCTGCTAACTGCAAGGTAAGCAGGTTGAATCTACCAGCCACTCTGCAGAAGAAAGATGAGGCATTGTACTCCTGTGGCGATGCATAGGCTCGGAAGCCCTCTACAGGGTTGCTGAATGAGAACTGACTTGACAGCCCACAACCACCACTACCATCATAATGCTTATAGGTTATAAATGATTAGGTTGTTGTTGTCAATGTGCCACGGAGTCAGTTCCGACTCATAGCGACCCTGTACAGGGATTCCAAGGCCGTAAATCTTTACAAGAGCAGAAAGCCTCATCTTTATGCTGCAGGACAGCTGGTAGTTTCGAACTGCTGACCTTTGCAGTTCGCAGCCTGATTCGTAACCACTACGTTACCTTATAAATGATTATAGGTGTGTTACAACATTTTTGTAGGCTGTGAGTGCTAAAATTTATTTTTTGTAAGTAAGACAGTCTTAATTACTATGATTACTTCAAAATCACTTTTTAATTGCATTAGGTACTTCACATGATTTCAAGTATGGGTTAATGCCTGGCCCTTCAAGCGATTTCAAGTATGGATTGATACCGGGTACTTCCAATGATTTCAAGTATGGATTGATGCCAGGTGCTTCCAATGATTTCAAGTATGGATTGTTGCCCGAATCTTGGCCAAAACAAGAAGCTTGGGAAAATGGCAAGTACCACTTATCAACTAAATATTCACAGAATTCTGAAATAACTTTTAAAAACTATAAATCTATGTTTTGATTCTTTAAAAAAAAATCTAGTGGTAGTACCCTTTGGTAAAAATAAACTGTTGCTAGCAAATACTGTATTTGTAATAAGCAATTTTTGTTTTATTTTCCTCTCAAAGGTGAATCACCTGTAACCATGAACAAGTTAAAATGCCCTCATTGTAGCTATGTAGCCAAATACAGACGAACACTAAAAAGGCACTTGCTCATTCATACAGGAGTGAGGTCATTTAGTTGTGATATTTGTGGAAAGCTGTTCACTCGAAGAGAACATGTTAAAAGACATTCCCTGGTAAGTAACTTTAAATATAACTGATTGTTGAGATAAATTATTTATGTCAGTGAAATTTAAAGCCATTTTAACATTGTTACTGGCAGATTTGAAGGTTGGTTATTAGATAAATTGCTTCAGATAATGTGATATATTGTGTATTCAGTCATTATTAATGAGTGGTTAAATGCATTATATTGTCTGTCCATACTTTCCTTATATTGGATTTTCCCCCCTTTCAATTAGGTGCATAAAAAGGATAAAAAATACAAATGTATGGTGTGTAAGAAGATCTTCATGTTAGCAGCCAGTGTTGGAATAAGACATGGATCTCGACGCTATGGTGTTTGTGTAGACTGTGCTGATAAATCACAACCAGGAGGGCAAGAAGGTGTAGATCAGGGACAGGATACAGATTTCCCACGGGATGAAGAGTTTGAAGAGAATGAAGTCGGAGAAGCTGATGAAGAGCTTGTTGATGATGGAGAAGATCAGAATGATTCATCTCGATGGGATGAATCAGGAGATGTTTGTATGTCTCTAGATAATTAACTGACCGACTATACTCCTCAAGGATGCTGCATTTGGACATAATATGAATCAACAATTTGAATTGTTGAACCTGAAGGCTTGCATAATATGGTACATAATATGGTAGTTATGTTGCTGTGAAAACTGTAGGGTCAAAGCCTTATAGCAAAAAAAATTTTTTTATATTTGCACAGGACTGTACAGCGACAACCTTGTGGTTGGATTACATGAAGTCCCCACATATTCATTCAGTTATCAAAGTAAAAATATTTTTTATTTATAGGATATACAGTAACTTTGGGTCCTATGAAAATAGAGTACCTGTCCTTGTAGAGCTTACATTCATGTGCTACCTTAACATGAATGAAGAAAATCCATTTATGGAAGTACAGAGATAGCTGACCCAATCACTCTGTCCATCAAACCACTCAGGCTAGTTTGTACTAGTAGAGTTTTGTTTCTATTTTTATTTTTATTATTATTATTTTTTAATACAGATTTTCAGTGAGGGGCTTTTTTCAACCCCATTGGTTCTACCTTCTTGTATTTCCCATTTTAATTTCTTCATAACTTAAAAAAAAAAGTCTCTTCTAGTCTTAGGTATTATTTCTCAATTTTGTGCTGAGAGGCATGTTTATAAGAACTGGAGAGGTAATTTATTGGAATGAACTAACTGACTTCCTCCATTCCCCCTTTCCTTTTTTGACATGAATTTTACTACTTCATATGTAGAATGATGTTGCAAAGTTACCGTGGTGAAGTTGACAAATACCACTAAAATGATTATGATTTAGAAGTAACTTTCTCCTGCTGCTTTAATCTGATAAATGGTTACTATATGACGTTTTCTAATATGGCAGTCTCAGTTTTGGGTATCTGTTACTTTGGCACTATTCTTGTTAGCCTTTTTTTTTTTTTTTTTTTTGCCAGTGTACTATACCTCAGTCCTATTTCAAAGACAAATCTTAATTGAAAGAAAAGTCATAGAAACAATAAGTAAAATTATTTGTTTTATAATATATCCTCCATGTCCAGTTTGGTTAGCTTGTTATGCAATATAAGTGAAATATCAGGTTTTTATCCCTGTGCCCTTTTTATCATTAAAATTAACATAAAAATTACATTCTCTTTTGTTTCATACTTACCTGGGATATTGAATGTCTTAAAATTGTGATGGATAAATTAAATTTTTAATTCTTTAGTTATCATACCTTAATATTTAGTCTTTCTATTAGTAACCATGATTCAGCAATCTATATCTCACAAATAAAATAATGAGAGGATTTACAGCTTATTTTGTTAACTAAGTTCTTCAGGGTACAAAAGGTAATATTTATATTAAGTTAAAATTACCAGATTTATTTAGCCTGGTGGCAAATGAATTAGTTTATGATCATTGAACTCACAGCAACATTTCCCATTAGTAATGTTAACATAAACAGCATTTATCAGGAACATATTGTATATTATATAAGATTGAAGGACATCCTATTTTCAGCTTTCTTTTAAATAAAAAAATTGAGTATATTTTCCTATTTTATATCAGGTAACAAAATTATGCTAGTCATGTAGAAAAATTATAAACTATGTTTTGATGGACTTAATTTGGTGCTCCATCTGATCAAAGCTGATAAGTTGTCATGTTTTAAGAGACAAGCTTTTTCAATAGAATAATGGATTAATGTTAGACATTGATGTTTCTGCTTGGTTAAATCAAAGATAAATGACAGTTACATGGCTAGATTCATCTTTGTCATTTAAATTTAATTATAGTTTCTACATGACTGTAAACCTGACAGGCTACTAGCTTTGGTTTGATTTTTGTTCAACTAAAGAATACACATTATTCTCAAATGTCCTAGTCAGATGAGTAAAATGTAATTCTGGTGGGGTCCAAAGTAGAAATTAGTAGGGCAAAGATACTATGAATGAGAAAGTATTTTAAACATACAATGTTCTGCTTTGTGAATATGTAAGTATAGTATAAAGATTTCTTTCATCCCATTTATCCCCCTCCTTTAAAATAAACCATAGTTTACAATTGGTAGATCTGTCTATATATAAATATATATTAAAGAGAAAAGGTATATATCTGGAAATCACCTAAATCTGTTTTATTAGACTACAGTTCACTTATTGCATAGAAACTGGACTTGGCTTTACATTCTTAATGTACTTTTACTTTTCTTTAAGATATGAACTTGTTCTCTTGAAACTGAATTTTCTTTTACTTTAAATCATTTATGTATATCTGGTAAATTATGACCAAATTTTTGTTAGATTGCATACAGTAAATTGAAATATACACTTGGTACACTACAGGATTGTTGTGCTTTTGTTTGGTTTTAGTTGGAAACAAGGTTTGATGTAGATGGCTTGTTACTGTTAATTTAAAATATTCTATAATTGTCCATTGCCTTTTATGTTGTGTTGTGACAGATTTGACTATATATTTAGTCAATTGAAATATGATACTTTAAAAGTTTGTTTTTTTTTTAGAAAGGTAATCCAAAGGAAAAAATGTTTATACTCTTGACTAGTAGCCTCAGCCTATATAAACTTTCTTGTTTAAAGTAAACATTTTATCAGAAACAAAATTGACAGATTTTCTACTTGCTGACTGCCTAATTTATTTTGTTTTATGATCTTGAGGGACTGCCTTTTCCCTTGTAGGTCTTTTTAAAAAAATAGTTTTAGTACTAAGGTATACTACTGGACATTTCTATTTTTTTAAGTATATTCTTTTTTCTGACTTACAGTACAATTTGAGGAAGTTGACAGATATTAAGAATTTATGATTGGTCTCATAGAGATAATAACAATGGAATACTCATAATTTTGTCTTTGGAGCCTTGGCAGAATTATGTGGTAAACATTTGTTGAATTTTTCTCTTGTAACTTATATTTTAAGCAAAATATATTTTAGAGCTTTTAATTTTACTGACGGGGAAGAGTATAAACTGTTTCATATTTACTGTGTAGTAACAGACCCTCTAATAAATCAAGATCATATATTGGTTCTTAAGATTCTCAGAGAGAGTTAACTTCCATATGGTCCCTTCTTTGTCATAACTATTGGCCTTATTTTTTCAAATTCACTAGATGTTTTGCTAAATTTTTGCACCCTAGCAATTTAGAACTAAAAGGAAAAAAAAAGAAACTTTAGGAAGGGGAAACTGAACAGTAAGGAGTAGGATTAATATTCAGGGCTAAAACACTAGCTGGTTTAGGTAGAGCCATCCTGATGGAGAAGAGTGAGGAAGCACTCAGAACACTATGAGATATGGGATAAATGCACAGTACAACTTAGCTGCTCACTAATAGCTGTGAACCAAGAGGCGAAGGCTTAGAAATTTATATTAATACAGCATAGATGGCCTAAAGATGATAGGAATAACATAGCAATGGGGGAAGTAATGTGAAAAGAATCTTAAATTTTGGACCTTCAGTGACCCTTATTTTTATTTTTAGCATTTTTCTATACATGGCATGAAAAGTTTAAATTTATTTTTCTGAATGAGTCTTAAAGTTACCTTTTATTTTTTTTTTTGGTACACATGGAGTGCCTACATGTGCTGTTCCTTGTGTTTCCTATTACTTTATCTACTTCCCTATAAGGCAGGTGCTATTGTCTCCATTTTATAGATAAGAAATTCAGAAACGTGCCTGATTTAATACTGCTATTTAGTACTAGAGCTGGAATTTAATCAGGTCTGGTTCTGAAGTCCTTATCTTTCCAAGAGGCTCTGTTTCTGCCTCATTAAAATAATTTTTTTGTAGAACTATAGCTGTTAAAAGGAGTCTCATCTATCAATGGAGACAGGTTTCCCCTATAAAATGCCCTTATAGCTATTTTAAGAATTTGGGTGTCTAATCTATCCTCCCCCCAATAAACAACTTTACTACTATTCTTTCCTCCTAATAAAGCAATTGTTTGTCACTTGACTCTGGTAAGCTACCAAGCACAGTGTGGCATATGCTGTATTAATTGGCTATAGCATTTTCATTTATAAAAGGATGGCTTTTAACTGGACCAGAAATGAACTCTACTTTTACCTGTGCCGTTCAGTCACCCAGATCCTTAAACTTAACTCTGGTACATAAATATGTACTTAGAACTTGCAGGTGTCTTTTCTGAGCAACTTTAGGATTTAAAATGAAAAGTTCTTTTTGTGCTACATCCCTGCTTTTTCAAGTAAAGTTGGACAATTCTAAGTAGTTTAAAATATGTTAGGGAGAAGCACACATTCATTCTAAAAGATGGTTTCTAGTCATGAATTTTATGACACTGGGTACTTACTTAAATTTGGAGTACACTGGCTATTGAGAATAAAATATTGTGTTGTAGGAGAGGGATGGTTGAGGCCATTATGAAATGGGACTATCATTCTAAACCCTGTAAACGTAAAAGAACACTTTCTTCTGCCTGCTGTTGGTAAAAGCTCTCTGGGAAGATCTTTTACAAAGACCAATTTTTTTTTTTTTTTTTTTTTGTAATTTACCTACCTAGTATAAATGTCCTAAGACATGTATGTAAACTTCCAAAACTGTTTGTCTGTGTATTTAGAAAATACACACGAATCTTTATCAAACCTAAAAATATAAACTTGTGAGCACTAAACCGCTTCTGGCTTTGTGAATTTTATTGACTCTGACATTTAATTCAGATTTCTTTGCATTTGAAATAAGTGTACTAATTCAGAGTAATTAGGGGAGCAACAGCTTTGTAAATTTTAATTACGTGATTTCAGATACCTTTGTACATGTTTACCTTGTATTTTGGATTATAATAATATAAGGGTTTTTTGTATGTTTTATATGAAAGTGTATAAATGATTCAAACTACCTCCTAGTAAGTAAATCCTTGGAGAGCTGCTTTAATAGATAGTAATGGCCTCTAATGTGTATACATTTACCTTTCATTTTTACTTGAGTCTCTGTAGGATTTTGAAAACATGAAAAGTGTTTCCCTTGTAATTTACCCTTAGGCATAATCTTAGGTCAGTGGGCTGAAAAGCAAAGGTAAACCATTGGCTCCATCCTGTATATATACGGTATATTAGTAGATTAATAGATGCTAAGTAAATCTGTCACCTGAAAATTTTAAGTTAGTACTTGGTTAATAGGACAAAGGAATTCTGAGAATTTGGTTGCCTAAAGGTGAGAGTTTTGATTTAATTTGGAGAAGGGGCAAGGAAAGGGAGCAGCTCATAGCAGACAGTGCCTACTAGTGTCTTTAAACATTTAAGAGCTGTCATGTGGCAGAAAAACTCCATACATTGAATATGATTTTAAGATGTTAGAATTAGGACCATTTGGCAACTGACAGTTTTTAAATAACTAAAGATGAAATGTGGTTGCTTCAGAAAAGACTTAATCTTTTACTACAGGATATTTCCAAGACATAGTGAAAGATTATTTGATAAAGATTATATTGTGGTTTGGGTGAAAGTGTAAAGAGCAGATTATTCATTTTTCATCCAGCAGTTTACACAAGAATATTTGTTTCACAGAGTGATTTTTGTTTTTTAAATTTCTTATTTTTATTTTGTTTGCTAAGAACACTAATATATATGTTTTATAGTAATATTGTATAAAAGGTACAAGACATAATTGGAATCTGGAAATCAAGTTCAGCTTTATGAGCAACTTGCTACCTGTTTTGGGGGCTTTTGCCTTTTGTTTTCACTAAATCATTCCACAAACCACTGCTTGGGAACTAGTGTAAAATAGAATTATGGGATCCGTTGTTAAGAAAATTAGAGGTCCTTCAAATCTTAGTGTGTGGCAATATTTGTGTCAAAAGTGTGAAGTAAAGAAGGAAATGAAAAGCAAAGAACCGGAAATTTATTTAATTAAAATTGACAGAAAGTAGGCTTTATAACTGCATGGTACCTTTAAATGCTGTTAATAATACTACCCATTCACTGTCTGTAAGAAATACTGCTACTCTTGCAAGCATGATTAGAAAGATGTTTTGGAATCCTAGTGGAAGATATGCAAAAGACAATCTAACTTCTTGGCATATGTCTTACCAGTTGGTGAGAGAGCAATACATGAAACCATTGCAACATAATCCTAGAATTTTTAGAAATTTGAAAAAGACATAAAGAGAAAATCTAATTAGGAACCCAAAGAGAGGTTAATGCAGCAACTTGGTCAGTCCGTTTTAGTGTCCAGGGCTTCTGTCCTTTGACTTCACCATCTTTCTCTCTGCATGAAACTCTCATTCAGTACATATTTTTCTTAGCAGAATCATGAGAACTAAGATTTTAGAAAGCTTAAGCAATTACAGAGTACACTTAAATACAGTTCCTACCACATTATCAATGCTCAAAAAAATAAGTGAATGACTGAAGACATTGGTAGTTTTCTTGATAGGATTTTGCCTACTAACAACATCTCATAGGGTAGTGGTTTGTGTTGCCTAATACACGGAGACTATGGGACCCTATCCCCCAGTATACACCTATCTGTGACCATAGCTAATGCAGTGAAGAGCTATTACAGTACAGAGATCCCAATGGAAGTAGCTTTTAATTTTTGCAGACACATACTCCATACTTACCACCTCTATAGCACAAAATACTTAGACTGAGTGTGAGCCATTTGTAACAAAACATTTGTTTTAAATTAGTGGACCGATGTAGCCATGCTAACATCTAAATGTCTTTAACATTCAAAGTGTACACAAGGAAGATAAAAAAAACTAGAGCGAGATCCCTGTTGAAATAGTTTACTTTTTGATGTAGAGTAAAGCTGCATCAATAAGGATTTTTAAATCTGTTACAGTTACACAAAGATTTTTATATTTGTGAAGCATCATATAAATCATTGACACGTAAATATTGTCATATGAAAGACCTGATACATGTTCACGTGAAAGATGACACTTAGTACCTTGACCTGTGCCCTTTTCCTGAATCATTCACCTGGATTTTGGTAGCAACTTTGTTTGCTAAGTTGAGATGGTAGCATTTACATAGAGATGTTGGTAATTCTCCCAAGCAAGTTTTGTTCCACCCAAAGCATTAAATAAACCTACTTTAACTTATTCCAAATAATGACAGTGTAGTGAATTACTGGCCCAGGACCACATTGTTGTAGTTAGGTGCCATCGAGTCCAGGACCATAGTCCTCATTCATAGTAAAAAGTCATTTTCTTAACACTAAACAACTAGAGTTTTATATATGCAGTCGTGGTTTTGGCATTCTTATTGGTACTCTTAAATTCCCTATTTGTGGTGCTGTGAGATATGCACTGAAATTCTGGGGTGGCGCTCTAGGGCAACCACAATGCTGGTGGTTCAAACCCACCAGCCACTCCTCGGAAACCTACAGGGCCATTATAAATCAGAACCGACTCAATGGCACATAACAATTTTAGGTTTTATTTCATAGGCCTAACATGTTTTTATTATCCTACATTAGAGTGGAGACAGTTTTCTAGAACCAGAAATCAAACTAAATGCCCTACCTCCTGCCTTCTGAATATAGCTGGATCTTTGGCACCTTAGACTAATTTCTGGTCCTCCTTTACTGTCACTGGTGACTTCACAACCTATATGAACCCATTCCAGTCAACACTCTACCTCTATGGTCAAACATTCAGCAAATAGTGAATACCCATGTCTGAAAATGATTAAGACCTATGATAATAAGATCATATGCTATTCTCGGTGCAAAATTAGGAACTTTATCACAAAGATTCTTCTCAGTAGGATGACAAAAAATGTAAAATGGTAAAGATTTAGAGACTGCATACAGTCATCACTTCTCATTGCCCTCTTCAACATAATCGAAGAATATAATGAAGTCTACCTACTATGGAGGGCCTCAGTGATGGTGATCCAGAAGAATTTTGTCTAATAAAGCAGTTCAGTAAAATTATAAGCACTTTATACCACATATTTCTTTTTATAGAGATGAATACTACATTCTTGTATTCTCACTGTAAGTCCTGTTGAAGATGATCTGGTGGCTTTTGTGCCGCTCAGACTCTTAAAATAGTAGACTTTCAGTCAGTAAATGCTGAATGAGCAAAGTATGTAGTCATAAAATGTAAAACAATTTCAATTTCAGTATGAATCTAAACTAGTGCCAAGAATTAATCCCCTCCCTTATTAAGAGAAAAATAAGCCAAAGTAAGTGGTTAGTCTAATGGATTTAGAAATTTTGTAGCTCTTGTATCATGAGCTATTCTTCAACTGGGTATCTACCCTTAGTACCCAATGAGAAATCTCAAAGACATCAAAAATGACATCATGGTAGAACTCTGATAAAGCCACTAAGAACACTTGAATCCCATTCATTAGGCATCCCATTCGCTCCTCAGCGCAGTGC